CCCTATACATTCAAAAACCCACACTACTGAAGCCTCTGAAGAAATAGAGATGCTGAAGATAAAAGCAGAGAATAGAAGGATATTGAATTTATGTCCCATCTTCTGCTGGCCAGTTTAGTACTGGGGGCCACACATATAGGCAGTCCAAAGCCAGCAAGCAAAGCTGCTTGACTGTATGTACTTCTGTAGGAACACCTGAGAAGAACATAGTGGTCTGAGGCTACATCAGGAGGAAGTTGGAGATAAGACCAGAAAGGGTTATAAAGACCCTGACTACACTTGCCATATAAGCAGCCAGGAGACCGGTATTCTCCAGAGATCCTTTTGCAGAACAAGTTTTTCTGTAGGTAACCCAGCCATAACCAATAGAAAACACATTGGGTCTGGCTATGGTGACTGTCAGCATCTCAACCTTTGTGAGAACTACTTCCATCCTTTGCTGGAGAGACATTTCATTAGCCCTGTGAGACATCTGTTCCCTAGCATTTTGCTGTGACTATTGTGCACAGTATCTCTTTTGCTTCTTTTCTTCCAGCATAGTAGTAATCAGGCCAGCCACTGGAGGACATATCTGCTCCCAGACCTTAAGACTCACACCATTGGCCTGAAAGACTAGCTCTTGGAGCATCTGGATGACTAGCCTTGATTAATTGAAGGGAGAAGTAGTTGTACAGAGTGAAGATGTCAAATCATGGCATCTAGATGGAAGAAGAAAAATAGAGCTGAGTAGAGAAGTGTGGTGATTCTGCTCGGCCTCCAGCACACATCCCAAGCACAACCCCTCCTTCCATCTGTTATCCTGTTACTCCCTGATTCTGAAAGTCACCATAACAGGGCCACCTGAAATCATCTCAGTAACTATTCTCCTTGCTTCCTATTTTACTCTTAAACCATCCATTTTCTATACCAGGAAAAAATTGTTCTTTCAAATAACAAACAAGACTTTGCCTTTATATGTCAAGCCCTCCCATGGATTTACACTGCAATTAAAATAAAGATCCAAACTCCATCTACCAGCTCCAGGGTCCTATAATACAACCTAGACAATTCCTTCTAGACTCTATGGAAATGGTTCTCGACCTTCCTGATGCTTTGTTGTGTTGTGGTCATGTTGTGGTGACCCTAACCATAAAATTGCTTTGTTGGTGTTTTATGACTGTAATTTTGCTACTATTGTGAATCATAATATAAATATCTGATATGCAGATGAGTTTAGGTGACCCCCTGTGAAAGGGTTTTTTGACATCCCCACAGGGGTCACAGCCCATGGGTTGAGAACCATTGATCCATGGGTTGTATAACTCCTTTTAGAAGTCACAAGGTCCTATAACCTAGGCCACTCCTAGAAGTTACAAGGGCCCACAATCTAGGCCCTATCTGCCTTCCCTACCTGTGCTACCTGCCATATTCATCTATCTGTTCATGATCACCAAGTATGCACTACTTCCTGACCTTAGCCTTGGCAATAGCTTCCCCACAAAATGTATTTCTTTCAGATAGCTATCAGACTAATATTTAATATTTAGGTTTCAGCTCAAGCATCGTCTCACTACAGAGGCCTTTCCTGCCACCCCTCACATCACCCTCTCACACCTATAACACAGCACTGCTCACATTCTGTTTTTATTGCCTTGTTTGCAGAGACCATTATTGTATTGATTTTTTTGTTATATCCCCAACTATAAAGAAAGCTCCTCATGGAGGCAAAGGACTCACCAATCTTTGTTCTCCACACACAGAGAGTGAGAGTGAGTTTGTGTGTGTGTTAGTTTACTATAGTGGCCAATATAAAATAGTGTTTTTCCAAATAGTTAAGGAGATAAAACAGGGAAGAAAGAATACAGTGAGGGATAAAATACTGAGCAAAAGTACTGGACCAAAATAACTACAGAGCAAGTTTCAGGACAGCCAGCTCTACATAGAGAAATGCTGTCTCAAAAAAAAAAAAAAGGTGGAGGGGGGGTGCAGGGGAGAAAAGGGAAAGCCAAAATCTTCAGGACTTGTAAGTTTTGACTCAAGTAGCTTAAAAACTGTAGAATCCAAAGGCAAAAGTAAAAGACAAAGTCTCAATGAGAAGTCTGTTCAGCTGCAAAGCACTGGATGCCATAAGGCCCCCATCAACTATAGCCTGACCCATCAAGAGCTAGCAGAGCATCACTGAGATGATGTGTCTACCTTGTGCATTTTCATCTGGTAAGGCTTTTGATCCTTTTCTTTCAATAGGTTAAGTTACAACAGTTGGAATCTTCCTGTGCAGACCAAGAAAAGGAACTTGCCAAGGTAAGAGCAGGGACTCCAAAGTTCTTCCCAAGAAGGGGAAACATAATCCTCCAGCAACCTAATGTATCACTCAAAAGATTGATGTATCATCAGCTTCCAGACTCAGGACCATCATGGCTCTAAATAGTGGGTTTAAAAAAAAGAGGGGGGGGGAATAAACCCAATCCTCTAGATTTTCTTCAGTTAAACATTTTTACAGAACTCATCCCAACATCTGTGTCTAACACATATTAGTACCTGTTCCTTTTCCAAATTTCCCCCAAATAATTTCCATTTGGACTATAAAATATGATTTATTTGTCCCCCAAGATGAAGTGAATTTATACATACAGCAGAGGTTTACATTGTGGGTCTAGAAACAGGAGTGGACCTATGTACTTCTCCTCTTATGGCAATAAGCGGAGAAGATGGAAGACTCCACTTTGGTTTCCAGATAATGGAAGACTATGTGTTTGTGTCTCAGCTCTGCGAAGATCAAGCTATCTGCATAAAGGTACAGCTTCCCAGGATATAATGTAGCCAAGCTGCCCAAGGAATACTACCTAGGAAAATATTATCTCAATATGGTACTAAGGAGAGCCTGTATGGTCATCAGTTCCTGGCACATATCACCCTATTGTTCCTTGGTTCTTGGTAACTGCTGATGTGTCTGTGTTCTTAAATTAATAACAAGAATGTCTCTTTGTCTAACCCCAGTTACTCTTGGGAACCTATCCACCATTGAGGAGAAAGGGGAGAAAAGGTGGTGGGTTGAGAGGATGTGCCCATGGGAATGCCAAGCATTCTTTGTGTAGTCTAGTGAAAAGCGCTTGCATGTTTAGAAAAATCAGAAAGTGCCCAAATAGTAACTGTGGCTCCCTTCAATTCTCTTTAAAGAAGTACCAGGAAGCATTGAAGAGGATAGAAGAAGAACTGGAGACTGGATTCCTTGAGAGAGAAGTGTGAGCATTAACCCAGGGACATCCTGGTTCTCAGCTGAGTCAGGCCCAACTCTTCCCAGGTCACCTCTGAAACAGAATGAGCCCCTTCTTTTGTTATCTTGTTAGAATCACAGTCTTAGAAGACTACAAAAACACACCTTCATAACTTTATCACACTGCCACATTATCATTTGGGTTAAGATTAATTGCATAAGCATGCATTTTAAAAAGTGCTGGTGTCTGAAATCCTTGGTAGGTGGGGTATTCCTCACTGTTCACAGGATGAACTTAAAATCATCATCATTCTTACTCCTAAATGTGTAAAATTCCAATCATGATATAGGCATGAAATGTACTCCTGGAGATACTGACAATATGTGTTCTGAAACTGAGAACTGTGAGTGAACTCTATTGAACTATGAACACTAAAAACTAGAAATGGCAAGACTCTTGCTCTCCTTCTCAGGTGTAAATAGTACAGAATCAAAACAATGAGCCTTGCCTCCATCATTTCACCCTTTGTGAGCTAGTCTTAATGAATATGCATTTCTGTTTATTAAATTTTTAGAGGGTCTTTGGCTCAAAATAAGAAGTCAAACTGTATAATCCTCTAAGTCAGCCATTTACAAATGGCAGCATAGAAGCCAGGTCCTAGGCCATGGAGGTCCTAGATCCTGAAGGACACTCTCAGGTCTTTCTAGATGCTTGTTGGGAATTAGATTAGAACTTCACTGTTACGCTGATGTTCTGGAAGAGAGTTGTCTAGTAGAACTTCCTGCGCCATCCAGTAGGAAGCCACTGTCTGCCGGTGGCTGACTTCTGAGTACTTGGAAGATGAGAAATGTAGTGAAGGAGCTGGATTTCCCTTTAAATTTATTTAAACAGCTATAGGTAACGGCTATGCTATTGGATAAAACATCTTTTAAATAACCATCCTATGTGTTATGAATATTTGGATGCTTTGTCCAATCTCTTTTGTGGTTCCTTCTCCTCCTAGATCAAAAGTCTTAAGCATGGATTCTGAGAGAGAAAAGAGTAACAGCCTAAATAATAAGGTAAGAAATCCACTCCTTTCACTCAATGCCTTCACCTACAGAGGGAGTTTCCAGGAACTGAGAGTCACCAAGTAGATGCCCAGTTTTCTCACTGCACTTTGCAAACATTTCCAACTTTACTCACCCCCAACCAAGATGCAAAGGAGCAATTGTCTGTCCCACTTTTACACATACAAAACACAGATTCTCAAAACTAACCTAAGAATTCCAAATGACAGTTGGAAAGGGCATTAACAGAGGGTATGCTGTATAAGAGGCAGATGTAGCAATGCCCTTTCTCTCCTATAATCCAAAATGCTTTTCTGTTCCTCCCAACACAATCTTGAATCTTTCACATCACAGGGCACCAGGTATCTGACACCATGTAGCTGAAGTTGTTCTGTAAGTTAAAACACAGAATGTCATACTTCTTAATGTCACATTTCAATGTCTGCCCATAGTTAGCATCATGAAGTCACCAGCTCACAGGCAAAGGTCTGAAGTCACAGACTTTTTTGGAAGGAGGGTACCAGACCTTTCAGTGTTCTTGTCTCACACCAACAGGCACACTGGGTCACACTGGACTTCAGGCCAGGGTTGACAATCACCAGAGTTTTCATGTAGTCAACATAAATAGGTTTTTGTCTGTTTGTTGTAAGATTCATTTATTTTATGTATATGAGTTCTCTATCTGCATGCCAGAAGAAGGCATTAGATCCCACTATAGATGGCTGTGAGCCACCATGTGGGTGATGAGAATTGAACTCAGGACCTCTGGAAGAGCATCTGGTGCTCTTAACCACTGAGCCATCTCAGTGCCATTTGTTTTGTTTTGTTTTTAATCTCAGAAGCAAAAGACCATCTTGTTCCTTAAGAGAAACTACCAGATGTTCACTATGGTCCTGGGATCCACCAGACATTTGCTTCTGTTGGACCATGCTCACATGTCCTATACAATCTCAGAGGCCCATCAATGGATTTCTTCTTAGTAACAATCAGAGAAAAATAGATTTGTCTCCCCAAAGCCCATTATAATCCCAGGAGGAGCCACTGGCCAGTGACGTTCAAATACCTTCATTCAGGAAAGGCTGCCTGAGCAGCTGAGCACCTGCCACGGTACACTAGTGTCCGCGGGCTACAGAACCCATTTCCAGTATCTGACTCCAGTTCTATTGGCTTCAAAATGTGAGCAAAACTCCTCTTACTCTTGATTTCGAAAAGGACTTTATAAAGGCAATAAAATATCTGAGAAAATATTTTGGAAGAGAAGTATCACAGAAATCCAGCTGGACAAGTGGTGGTGCACACTTTTAATCCCAGTGCTCAGGAGGCAGAAGCAGGAGGGTTTCTATGAGTTTGAGGCCAGCCTGGTCTACAGAGGGAATTCCAAGACAGTTAGGGCA